TATATATGAAAGTAGTTGAGCAAAGAAGTAATGAAAGTTCATGTATTTAAAATAAACCACTAAAAAGTATTAAAAACAGCAGTGGTGGTACACACCTTTATTCCCAAGTACTCAGGAGGCAGAGTCAGACGGATCTCTGAGTTTGAAACCAACCTGGTCTATAGAGCAAGTTCCAGGACAGCCAGGGCTATAAAGAGAAACCTTGTCTCAACCCCCCACCAAAAAAAATATTAAATATTCCTCTAAAATATGTCACTTATTGCATTTTACAGGAAAATGGCTAGCATGCCAGTCAATGGATAACCAAATCTTAATTTTTGGAGCACAAAACAGATTCAGATTAAATAAGAAGAAAATTTTTAAGGGACATATGGTAGCAGGCTATGCTTGTCAGGTAGACTTCTCGCCAGATATGAGGTAAGTTAAGTCTTCATATTCATGTATGATGGTATGGTATAGTGTTGTTCAGTAACAGCACTTCATTGTGTAATTGCATGAGAACTGTGTAACCTTTCAAAATGATAGCTAGGAAATTACAAAGGCAAAAACAAGTTATGAAAATTAGATTTGGCTTTTCTGTAGGGTCTTCCTCTGTTAAAAGGCACAGGTTCCTCTGTGCCTTTTAACTACCTAATACATTCATTCCTATTTGTGTCACCATGCCTTTCTCTCTGCGTTCTATGTCGCTGTGGTTGAGTGGATACCAGAATTATTCATCACAGTGTTGGACAGACTTCAAATCCCGTGTACAGATTTGTCTACACTGAAAACAGAAATGCAGCTTTTGGATATTTCTAGATCACAAGAGTGAAGTTTCTGCATTTTTTTTTCTACTCTTAGTTAAAAATATATAGGTGGAAGGAATTCAGAGACCCTGTGGCTTTGTATATTTAGCATGGTAATTAGGCCTCCGGTTCCTCTCTCTGACTTAGTCTTCGACATATTCAAAGCATCCTGAAGGTAAAAGTGGTTCAAAGTTCACTGCACTGTAACATACCTACCATGTGCACTGGTTACATATGAAACAGGTTCCTCTGTGCCGTTTTCCTGTTCAGAGACTCCCAGTCTCCTCAGTGAAAATAACTTTCTAGCTCTTAGATTGGCAGCTTATCGGAGGGGAGTGACTGGAGACATCAACTACAGACTATTCATATGTTTATTCTTCTGAGTACTGTACATTCACATTTTCTATGGTAAAAACATAAGCTCTGCCTCTTCATTCATTTCACCGGTTTAAGGTATGTGAATAACTGGGACTTGTTTTCCTTCTGTTGCAGCTATGTGATTTCAGGAGATGGAAATGGAAAGCTAAACATTTGGGACTGGAAGACCACAAAACTCTACAGTCGGTTTAAAGCCCATGATAAAGTGTGCATAGGTGCAGTGTGGCATCCACATGAGACATCCAAGGTCGTCACGTGTGGTTGGGATGGCCTCATTAAATTGTGGGATTAGTTCTTTCACAATCTGGGGTCATTTTTGATCCAGTGTCATATTTAACTATTTAATTATTAAAATGTGTTGGATGACAATTTGATTTATAGGTAATCTTTTCATATATGGCCTTATGAAGTTGCCCCATGGTTTTTGTTAAGAGCGTTGTAAATTTGCCTCATAAGTTCCTTGGCAACTTCATCTTGTTCTTTATAGATGTTATTTATATGAAGAATGACAACTAACTATATTTGACAAGTAGTTACTGTTGGCGGGCAGTTTGCATTTATCCCTATAATGTCACTGAAAAGATCATTTTTGGGGTCAAGAAAAAATGCCTATTGAATATGGGATCCTGGAGGAAATGATGTAACTAATGACTCAGAAAGGTACCAGACACTTACCAACCCAACCAAAGTGGAAGGAAAGGCATGATACAATTTGATATATACTAAAAGAAGGCTGGAATTACTGTTTGTCATTTTCATTGAATCAAGTTCTAGTCTTTTGGTTTCACGAGTTCCATTGTTTTTATGGCCTGTGTTGTATATTTTTACTTGTAAATGAGTGACATTTATTGGCTGCAACATTCCTCTAAGTACTAAGCAATGTAAAATTACAAAGCAGCCCACAGTCCCTCCTTTGACTCTTCGGATCAGGATGGACAGGACTGTATATAGCAGAGAGGAAAGGGAGATGTCTGCAAGATGGAACTCCAGTGAGCAAGCAAGGCTATGAATTTTACTCGTAATCACTGTCAATAAGGACATGGCTGCACTCTCAGAAATCAGGGTCTCTAGGGCTCTGCTTCACCACTGCTACCCATGAATTCCCTCTGGCCAGAGTATGAAGGCATAGTCCAAAATACTACCTACTGATTTCTTTGAAGTCACATTTAGGTTTTTTTTGTTGTTGTTTTTTTTTTTTTTTTTTTTTTTAATTACTCTGATTTTGCTTGTGAATTCAAACAGTAAAACTTTTGGATGTTAGAAAAAAAATTAAACTTCCTTTCAGATCTTTGAAAAAAATGTTGACACTAAGAAAATTTCTAGAGCCTCTCAGTTTGAGAGGCAGTAACCATGTTTAAAAAAAAAAAAATCACATATTGAACTTTGCACTGCCAATCCATTGCCATGGCTGTGTCTTCCATGAAGGGTGGTATATAGGAGGGAAGTCCAACCACTGTCTTAAAAAACATGAATTACTGAGATGTGGTAAGAGAAAGGCTTCAGCAGCAGTATTGCATGTTACCAATCATAATTTTGGAATCTTGATTTCTCTTACTGTGTTTTTGACTGTTTCTAAACTAAGTATCTGTACATAAAAGTTTTCTCTTTTTTGAAAAGATCCTATTTTTGAATAAAGCATTCTTTTTTGTAGAAAGTGCTATTGAGATGTCCATTGTGTCTTTTTAGTCTTAAGTCTATAGAGACACTAGATCATACAGTTGGGTCATACAGAAAGAAATGACATTAAAGGTGGGCATGGGATATTTAGTATGTTAAGTGTTTACTCTAATCACATGGTCAAACACAACTCAGCACCCTTGAAGCATGTAGAGTATATAAATGTGCAGGACTAGAGTGTACAGATGGGTGGGGGTGGGGGGTGGGTTCTTCCCCAGCAGAGAAAACCTAAGAACGCACTGTTGCATAGCCTGCCTCTCCTATCCACAATACTTTTGTCACACCTGGGACAGCATTCTTCCCTGAAAGTTAGAATTGTTCAACTGAATTCATATTTAAACACTGAAGCTGAACTGTTTTGCCCTAAGTGAAGAACCAGTTTTAAGACAACGAACAGGAAGTCCAGTCAAACAAGCTCTTTCTGAGGAAAGACATGCTATTTTTGTGTGTTTTGAGACAGTCTCATGTACCTCAGGCTGGCCTTGAACTCACTATATAGCCAAGGATGACTTTGAATTAATTCTCCTGCCTCTCTCTCCCAAATGCTGGGATTACAGGCATGTATCGTATCTGGCAGGAAGTGACTCTTGAGAAACACATTATTGCCTAAAAGAGAATATTGGCAGTGAAATGTCAACCTTTGAGTGACATCCATGGAGATCCTAATATCAGCAACAATTGCAGATGCTCCTTGAAGATCAGCTGCCTGAACTGTACATTTTGATTGTGTTGCTTACTGTGATAGAAAATAGTAAATAGTTGGGGGGGGCAGTAAGTTCAGGTGCTGGAGAGGAATATAAAATACTACCCAGACCCACTGGCAGTATTAAATGTGGAGAAATGAATACAGCTGCCATATTTCATCAGATACTTAATGTTCACATTTTAGTGTCTCCGGATAAGGCCATAGTTTAAAGCAATGATGTACCATAGATTACTGGCAGCATCCATGCATAGTGAGTTATAAAGTAGTTGACAGAGTATGGACAAAGCCAAGTACAAAGGAGCCAGGAGGAAGAAGATATTTGTCACAAACGTTGGAACAAAATTCATGTTGAAATACATGATCAGTGAGTAAACAAACAGAATGAACTAACGGACGATTCAGTAAATGAAGATATAGACGCACTATAAAATCCGTGGGAACTTTACTTAAAATGCAGAATTCTTGTTTCTATGTCAAACTAAAACAGTTGGCAAGCTCTCCAAATGATCCTCCAACAAGATTGCACTAATGGGGACAACAATGAAATTACAATCACAAATTTATCTTGGACATTTAAAAATCTAGGCTGTTTAGGATAAAGAAATTGGATAGCCAAAAGTACATGTGACTGCCTGTATGCAGGTATGCACATATATCATGTGCTTGTATTGCACCTTCCACCTACACAATTACTTTAGTTATTACTGGAGCAACTTTCTCAGCCTGTTTTACCTAAAATCTAAGGAAAAGGAAATTACAGACTTTCAGCCAAAAGTCTTGAAATGTGTAAAAGGGAGTTGTATTGAACTAAATAATTTAAACCCAGTCAGATACAGAGGAAAATGCTGAGAGATCAGAGAGAAGGAGCAAGCCACAGCTACACCTAACCTCCTTAGTGTCTCAGCAGACAAGAGAGCGAGTTCCTGTTTCTCCCTGCTTATACCTCTCTCTGCCCAGCCATCTGACTTCCTGTCTGTACAGACCTCCAAACCGCTATGGTTAGCTAGTGGCAAGCTCCATTTTCTGACCTTCAGACAGGCTTTATTTGTACAAGCAAGATATCACCACAGAAATGACTTCATTTTCAGTGACAGTGAAAGAGAGAACTTTGAGTCCACTGTACCATTGGCCTGGTACCATTGGCCTGGTACCATTGTGTTTTCTGTTGCTGTGATAAACACCATAGCCAAAAGCAACTGGGGAGCAAAAGACATCTTTCACCTTACTGGTTACAGCCTATGGTCAACGGAAGCCAAAGCATAAGCCTAACGCAGAAACCACAGCTTCGTGGCTTGCTCCCCATGCCTTGGGCAGTTCCTTTCCTCATGCTTATATAGTCCAGGCCTACCTGTCCTAGAGATGGCATGGCCCATGGTGGGCTTGGCCCTTCCACTTAGAGTAGCAATCAAGAAAGCCCCACAGGAGTGGAATGTAAAAAATAAATCAATAAAAAATTTAAAAATTAAAAAAAAAAGAGTCAAGAAAGAAAGAAAGTTCCACAGACATGCCTACAGGCCAATCTGATGTAGGCCATTCCTCAGTTAAGAATTCCTCTTCCCAGGTGTGTCTAGGTTCATGTTACTCTCACAAAACCTAACCAGCACACCTGTATTGACTGCCTTTAAATGAATGCTTTAGCTCCCTGCTCTCTAATTTCCAGCATTTTAGATCTTGGGGTTTTAACTCAAATCTCAAACATTGTATTGTTTGTTTTGTAGAGCAGCCTGGGCTTGAACTCACAAGAGAACTTCCTGCCTCTGCCTCCCAAGTGCTAGGATTGAAGGCATGTGCCACCATGCCCAGATTAAACATTTTAGAATTTATGCTGTTTTTAAAAGTATTTTTCATTTTTGAGATTATAATTATATCATTTATCCCTTCCCTTTCTTCCCTCCAAGCCCTTCCATGTACCCCTCCTTGCTCCCTTTCAAATTCATGGCCTTTTCATTAATTATTAGAGTGAGTGTGTGTGTGGTGTGTGTGTGTGTGTGTGTGTGTGTGTGTGTGTGTATGTGTGTGTGTGTGTTCCTAAATACAGAATTACAGCCTTTCAGTCTGTGTAATGTTATTTTATTTATATTCTCATGGCTGATTTGTAATGTAAACTTTTTTGTCCCCATGGACGATATATTATTTATAAAGCTGTTGGCTGGTGACTAGGGTTTCTTATTGGCTATCTCTGTCTTAATTATTAACCCATTCCTATTAATCCATGTATTTCCATGTGGTCTTGGCTTACTGGGGAATGCTGGACCTGCAACTCCTTTGCCTGTCCCATGATGTCTCAGTGTCTCCACAGAGAAGAGAGCAATTTCCTGTTTGTCCCTGCTTATATCCTGATTCTGCCCAGCTGCATCACTTCCTATCTGGCCAATTAGCCAATCGGTGTTTTATTCATTAACCAATAAGAGAAGCATTTACACAGAAGACCATTCCCCATCACTGATTATTTGGTATCCAGCTGGTCTGTTCTTCCCTGGGGAAGACTATGTCATCTGCTCTCAGTATTCCTAAGAGCCTATAGTTCTTTGTCTCGGGTTGAGGCTTCCTGACTTTCTCCCTTCTGCATTAGCATGTCTGCTGGTGGCATTGTTGTTCAGCTAGTGTTTAGGCAGTCATTTTGGTAAAATTCGGACATGGCTAGTTGACACAATCTCACAACAAATTCCCTGTTCCTCTGACTCTTAGAATTCTTTTGCCCTCTCTTCCACATAGATCCCTGAGCCGTAGTTTCGGGAATTGTATTGTAGATACACTTTTAGATTTGTGGACTTGTACAGAGCACTGTACAAAGAGATTCTGTTGGTCAGGCAGTGGTGACGCACGCCTTTAATACCAGCACTCAGGAGGCAGAGGCGGGTGGATCTCAGTGAGTTCAAGGTCAGCCTGGTCTACAAAGCAAGTTCCAGGACAGCAGCAGCACAGGAAAAACTCACTCAGCAGGCAAGCCAGCTTCCTTCTTCAATCCCCTATATTTCTGGACTGCTACTAGAGGGTGCTGCCACATTTGTGGTGGGTCTTCCCTCATTCATTAAGACAAATTCTCATTGGCTCTAGTTCCCTACACAGGTGACTAATTTTTCAAGCATCCTTAGTGTTTTAGTTATCCCTTTCTCCACCCTCTCCTCTGCCTACCCTCTCAGCCCTCTCCACACATAAACCCCACTCTGCATCGTTTCTTCTTTATGTCTCCTGGGTTCTATGATCTCCTCTTCTTTAAGGTCTCTCTGCCCCTTCTCACCAACCATGCCTTTCTAGTCGCCTGGAATCTATAGGTATTCCAAGTTACTAAACACCCAAATCCGAAGATTGGACATGATATATCAGCAAATGAGTGAGTGAAGCCTCATGTAATATTTATGCTTATGGGTCTGGGTTATTTCACTCAGCATGGTTTCCAATTTCATCTGTTTACCTGCAAATTTAATGATTTCATTTTTCTTTAAAGCTGAATAAAAATTCTGTTTTGTATTGGAACCACATTTTCATTCATCAGTTGGGCTGGCCGTTTAGGTCGTTTCCATGTCCTGGCATCTGTGACTAGAACAGCAATGAACATGGATGAGCGAACGTCTCAATCAACCACATTGAAAGTGCTCAGTAGCAGCATGTGCCCGCTGCCTACCATCCTGCACAGTATGGCCCTAGAACCATTTTTCACATAAAGAGTTCAGATACCCAGTGTTACTGCCTCATCTTCTAAAAGATGGTCTAAGGCCAAGTTGCTCATAACAGAATTCATATAAGGAATTTTGATGTTCATACTGTCCTGTGTTACATTTTGGGTATTTCCTCAGATCTGTCTCCAGGTAACTTTAAATTCTCTTTGGTTATGTCTAATCTTTTGAATCTATTAAATTTCCCAGTTCAACCACTGTTTTCCTTTTCTGAGAGGTCTACTTGCACTTGTTTTTATGCCTGGATTTTTTCCCCTATAGTCTCTTCTTTTCTTAAGGTTTATATGATCTTTTATGTTTTCATTCATGAACAGTTTATATTTTACAGTCTTTTTAGAAGATTTATTTTTATTTGTGTGTGTGTGTGTGTGTGTGTGTGTGTGTGTGTGTGTGTGTGTGTGTGTGCATGCCACATGTGTACAGATAATTGTGATCTACCCTATGTGAGTGTTCTGAGCTGAACTCAGGTCCCCTGCAAGAGGAGCATATAATCTTAACTGCTGAGCCATCTTTCCAAACGATATTCTACATTTTTAAATATGTTACAGAAGACCTAGAATTCGTGGTCATCCTAAGCTACAGTTTAAGGCCAGCCTGG